TATTTGTTGTATTTTCTTTATTATTATTATAATTGATTTTTTTCTTATAATTTTTCCAAGCAATATCAGAAACAATACCACTCAACACTATTATTCCTAACCATTTATTACTTTTAAATTTCTTTCCACAATCAACAACATTATCAAAATCTACAGTTTTCAATTGCCAAATTGAATGTATACTAGCACCCATACATGATAATAAATAATAGGGTAAGCCTTGATCATTCATGTAACCACTTAGAATTAAGCAAGAAATCATTGATCCTGAAAATAATGATAGCCATATCCTTGAATTATTATTAAATAATAACGCAGTTGACTTTACGCCAATTAATTTATCAAATTTTTTGTCCTATATATTATTATTATTATTATTATTATTATTATTATTATTACGAAAATAAAAATATTTGATCGTGAACAAATATATATACATATATATTACCTGATGTGCATAAATTGTATCATACGTTAAAGTCCAAAATACACCAGCTCCATAAAGTGGAAGTGTAACAGATAAATCGATTCCTTCTTCAACCATAGCAGACCAACCTAATAAAGCGCCCCAATTAAATGCTAATCCTGAAAAATTAAAAGAATGTAATTTAATTAAAATTAATAAAATAAAATAAAAATAATTGTGGCCAATAAGTTATACGTTTCATGAATGGATATATAGTTACAAGGCTTAAAGAACTTGCACCTAAATAAATACTAATATACACACATACATGCATATTATTATAATTAATTAAGATTAAAATTATTAAGATTAGTTAGTTACTATACCTATGCCAATTTAATTGTAATAAAATAGATAAACCAACAGATAATTGTAATATAAGAAAAACCAAAGCTTGAAAAGGTGTAACAAGACCCGAAGCAAGTGGTCTATTTCTTGTTCTTTCAACTTTTCTATCAATATTCACATCCCATAAATCATTTATAACACATCCAGATCCTCTTAAAACCAATGATCCAATACCAAATAAACCTAACATATAAATCGTTTTGGAAATTGGAATATTTGAACAATAATGATATGATGCCATCGTAATACTCCAAGCTAATAATAATAATAATAATAATAATTTAAATAATAATAATAATATGATTATTT